TGTGTGTGGAGTCTTGTGTCCTAGTACTAAACATCCTAGTGTGTTTAGTGCTGCAGTGTTTTCTCGTTAGTGCTTTGGAGAGAGGCTCAGAGTGCAGAGGAACGAGCTGTTAATAATAATAATGAGGTCAATCCAAGAAAAACTGCCCAGAGTCACACTAGCCTCGAATAACCAACTTTACCTTAATGATGCTTTCATACTATTAATATTTTCTTAGTTACAGCCCACTGAAGTACACAGAGGTGGGTCAATTTTTTTTAACATTGATCCCTGATGACTTCTGAAGTGAAGTAGCTAACCACATGAAATGTTCTGAACTAATAAAATGCTCAGATTTGGCTCAAATTACAACCTAATGGCCAGCAGGATTTTTCTGAAGAGGATGTGTAGACAAGCAGATGGGAGTTAATGAAAGAGGGTTGCAGAAATTAAAGTAGTCCTTCTCAAATCAGTAGATGCAGGGTTTTGTTTCCCTTACCTCTATGAGTTGGTAGAAGCTGCTGTAGCCATAAATTGAAGCTGCTGTGGTTAAGTTCATCTAACACAAAGAGAGAAAGAGAGATATCACTATCTGCTTCCAGTAAAGATTATTCATTAAATAACTGTAACCAAACCCAACGCACCATTTTGGGATTAATCGGCGGTTTCTCCTCCAGAGCGTAAGGTGTCAGCATCAAGTCGATGTGGTGAATGATTCCATTAAATGTGGTGTAATCGCTCTTCACGATCCTCGACCTGTTGTTGATGAAGATCGAATCCTGCAGGGGGAGAGAGACTGTTTATTTCCTGATGACTTCCCAAAGGTACTTCCTAGTTAAATTCAAGAAAAATCATTAAAAATGAAGGGTAACTCATTAAAGTAAAATCAAATGGGCTGATTTCTTGGGAGCTTTAGATTCACCTCAATATTTTATAACTTTAACATTTAAAATTAAGGGTTTTTTAAGGATGCTAACCGTGAATGGTGTAACCCAGGATCAGCGGGCCTATTCCAGAAACCAGGGCCCCAGTCAAAAAATCCCATCCCTTGTTTTTCCCTAATCACGTTTCTTGGACTTTTATGGAAAACATCAATAAGATGAAGGAGGTAATAAAGGAAGCACTGAAGCAACTCTCCTTAGTATTCTTTTAATCTGACCAGACACTATTATTAGGGGCACTACACTAATAATTCCAGGTCTTTTCACTCAGTGAGGAATCTTTCTAAGAAAAACTGACTATTTAAACAATCCCAGGTTTACAAACAAACTAACACTGATCTCTGTGGTAGGAAAATCTGAGGTTTTGTTCCCATAGCAGTTTTAATCAACTTGCCCTAAGTGAAGCTCGTGCATGGGTCATGAAAAAAGCCATCATAAGTGGCGCTCAACCAGTAAATAAGGAGCAGAGCCTTCAATTTCATCCAGTGGACCAGGAAATATGAATGTGTGCCAGTGTGGGCTATTTCATTTATGTTTACAAAAATATGAGTGGATGAAAGAGTAATTTCACTTGAGTACATTTTATTTAGCAATAGACACAATATTCAGCCAATTTTCTTTAATAGATGATAAAGCTGGAATTCTAACAAATGTTAAATCTTTTAATGAATGTATTAATTCACCTGCCAAAACCTGGTAAAAATGCAGGTAAAGAAAAAATATATATCAAAGCATTCCCGGTAATCAGGGTCTGGCATATCGAGACATATCATGGATTAACATTTAGAAAGATTTCTCTCTAATATTTATTTATTTATTACTTTTTAAAAGTTTGTAAATATTACAGCAAAAAACTGGTGTCAGACTTTCTGCTGCCTGGATTCACAGATGAGATTTAGTTCATTTTCAGTGACAGCTGCATTTCATTCATCCTCACTCAGACATATTCACATCATCTCTGGCATGATTTAAAAACTATGACAAGATTGTTCTGACTGTGCAGACGCTGGTTGGTGTCTCACAGGCCGAACAAGGAGAGTGCTGATCAGAAATGCAGCCAAGAGGCGCATGGTGACTCTGGACGAGCTGCAGATCTACAGCTCAGGTGGGGGAATCTGTCCATAGGACAACTATTAGCCGTGCACTGCACAAAGTTGGCCTTTATGGAAGAGTGGCAAGAAGAAATCCATTGTTAACAGAAAACCATAAGAAGTTTGCAGTTTGCCACAAGCCATGTGGGGGACACAGCAAACATGTGGAGGAAGCTGCTCTGGTCAGATGAGACCAAAGTGGAACTTTTTGGCCAAAATGCAAAACGCTATGTGTGGCGGAAAACTAACACTGCACATCACTCTGAACACACCATCCCCACTGTCAAATATGGTGGTGGCAGCATCATGCTCTGGGGGTGCTTCTCTTCAGCAGGGACAGGGAAGCTGGTCAGAGTTGATGGGAAGATGGATGGAGCCAAATACAGGGCAACCTTGGAAGAAAACCTCTTGGAGTCTGCAAAAGACTTGAGACTGGGGCGGAGGTTCACCTTCCAGCAGGACAACGACCCTAAACATGAAGCCAGGGCAACAATGGAATGGTTTAAAACCAAACATATCCATGTGTTAGAATGGCCCAGTCAAAGTCCAGATCTAAATCCAATCGAGAATCTGTGGCAAGATCTGAAAACTGCTGTTCACAAACGCTGTCCATCTAATCTGACTGAGCTGGAGCTGCAAAGAAGAATGGGCAAAGATTTCAGTCTCTAGATGTGCAAAGCTGGTAGAGACAGACCCTAAAAGACTGGCAGCTGTAACTGCAGCAAAGGTGGTTCTACAAAGTATTGACTCAGGGGGCTGAATAATTACGCACACCCCACTTTTCAGTTATTTATTTGTAAAAAATGTTTGGAATCATGTATGATTTTCGTTCCACTTCTCACGTGTACACCACTCTGTATTGGTCTTTCACGTGGAATTCCAATAAAATTGATTCATGTTTGTGGCTGTGATGTGACAAAATGTGGAAAAGTTCAAGGGGGCCGAAAACTTTTGCAAGCCACTGTGAAAACGGATGGATGGATTTTGCTCAATAATTTTACATTTTCAAATGATGCTGTGACTGCTCCTTTATAAAGCTGAGTACAGCTGCTGTGCTCCATGGATTAATAACGCATAAAGTGGTTGGAGTGAGAAAAAGTCAAGTGTGACTTGAGAAAAATTAAATAGTTCTTAATGTTTGTTTTACACATTTAAATCCATATCTGTGAAGCTACATTTCTGTTCTACTGAGGAGTTAATAATCTGTGTATGTGCATTACCCCTATCAGGCTGAAGTGCAATGTGTGTCCTGATACTGAGACAGCACGCTCAGTGGTTTTGAAGTCATTCGAGGTCAGAATCTCACAGGAAACGATGTGGGAACGAACCAGATCCTCAATATGACCGTTCTGCTTCCAAACATTAACCTAGACACACATACACACAGACACACAAGTCAGTCCTGTAAAGCAAAAACAATAAATGCCACATGCTAAAGTGATACAGCTAGGGTAGGGTGGCACACATTTAAGGTGAGACTGGAGACGTTAATGTCACACGAAAAAGCAGCAGCTGCTGCACTCACAATGGAGATGTTGTTGTTTTCCTCTACCGGGACGAAGACAGTGTATGGTCCATCACCATAAAGACCTGAAATGCCTGACATCTAAGAAGCACAAAAACAGTGACGATGGATGAGAATCAGATGGCTCAAAAGTATTCATCCCAAAGCAAGTCCAGGAGTTTGTTTGTTTTTTTACTTTAATTTTTTTTCCAGCTATTTTCCCACACAGTGTCAGTGCAACAAATTTATAAAATATGTGTATAAAATCAAGGATGAATAATAAGTTAAGGTCTCACAGTGATACTGAGTTTTGGTTCCTGGTTTTATTTTCATTTCTATTTTTGACCCAATGTCCATTTTCTCATTTCCTAAATTCCTCCTCCTCGATTCCTCTCCTCCCATCTTAGCCCTCCCACCACACATGCAAGTGGAGGAAGCGAGGAAGAGTCACGAGGAGAGAGGAGTCAAGGCATCAGGTGTTTATCGAAATGAGACATCCTTGCCTTGGATGTCAATTTGATGTGACATCTGAACTGTATCACAGGCTGAAGGTAAAAACACCTGTGCAGTCTGGATTACAGCTCCTCCTGCAGCCCCCTCTCCTCTCTGGCCTCCTTTTAGAAACTGAGACATCCTTCACCTTGGCGCTCTGTGATTAATTTCTAGATCACAGGCATAACAGTTTTTGTTTCTGACCACAAAGGTAATCCGCTTTGACACTCATTACTTCATTAATAGAGGAGGCAGTCTGTAAAATCAATAAAATATATGCAAATTCTTTCTTCGAGGTAAAATAAAAGGCATCTAATTATATCTGGACTTTTTCTATCTTAATTGCCTGAATTTAATCATGTGCACTCTTTGAAAGTCAAACTTCACTTTATAAATGGTGAAGTTTTATTTTCAGTGTCTGGCAGAGGCTCACCATCATCATTTGACGAAAGAAGGCGTTCTCTTTCTGACTGGACACTTCCTGTAAGGCAGAAAACAGTGCGATGTTAGGGGGAGAGGAGTGGGGAGGAGCGGGCGCTCAAAGGAAAGCAGGAAGTTGAAGGTCATGTGACTTACAGAGTTGGTGCTTCCCCGGCAATTAATGCCATCACCTATATAGCCTCTGTGGCAGGTGCAGTTCCTCTGCCCCATGCCCATGTACTCACAGCGAGCGTTCCTGCTACATTCACCGTTGTTCTGCACACAAACACAGCATGAGTCTTTTAACAGGAATGCCACAAAACAAGGGTTTTAATTTCTAGTTTTGTTAGGATTAAACATGGCATCAGGTCACAGCATCAGGAGGTCAGGACTTTGACTGGATCACTGCAGCACTTTGAGTCTTTGTTATGTCAGTCATTCTGTTGTAGATTTGCTGCTGTGCTTGGGACCATTGTCTTTCTGCATGACCCAGTTTCAGCCAAGCTTCAGCTGATGGACAGATGGCCTTACATTTGACTCTAGGATACTTTGGTGTATGGAGCAGCTCACAGTCGACTGATCTGACTAATGGTTGGTTGTTCACATGCAGCTTTACAAACATAAGCTGTGCTGCCATGTTCCTTTTAGAGAGAAAAGGCTTTCTCCTGGAAACCCTTCCGTAAAACGGATCGTGCTGTAGGTGATGAACATTTGTTGACAGGATTCAAAATCATTTGATGGAAATGAAATTTATCAAGCTAGTTCTGTTTGCCGAACAGCTCATGTGCCACTTAACTAACCAGATCAATATCCCAGAAGTTTAACGCCACACTCCCATTAAAAAGTGTTGCTTTAGGGTTTTTTTAGCATTGTCTTTCAGGACATACTGAAACTCTGTCCTCAAACTAATCTCTACAGATAAATCAGTGCAGAGGAGCAAAATTAAAAATCAACCTTTTTTTAATTACTCACTCTTCTCTGCAAAAACACATAAATTTAAACAGGTATTTGGAGATAATTAAATAGCTTGCATAGGAATGTGTCTGTCAACATATTATCCCTGCTAAGACACATGGACAGGACTGCTGTAATAATGCTTCTGTTGCCACAGAATTATTTAGATGGCATCTGAAATATTTGGATAATATTTGGAAATTTCCTAGAAAAATCTGTTAAATTATGTCGATTAAGGTTCCTGATGACGACCACTCAAGTCTCACTCTAATAACCTGGAATCTGAGAGGAAGAGCTTAATGTCTCCTTTCAGGAGATTTCAATAATTTATGAAGATACCCAGCTGTGTGAGCCGAGTGCAGAGCTATGTATATTCTACCCTCATAATTAGAGACTGCAAATGCAATATAAATCCCTACTGCTGTATAATGACTACAGGTATTTAACTGACTGAAGAAACCAGGCCATGCAGCTCCCCTGCAGCACCCAGGTGTGCTGAGTACTTTCGTATTCAGCAGCCAAATTAACGACTTATTGCCTTAAAACATGAAAAGATTATCTACCGCTCACATAAAATAAGTATCTGTTCCCATATCACCTTCAGGCATTTAAAACATTTAAAACAAGTGTCAGTATTTTGCCACAGAGCAGAATAAAGCACACACATACATTTCTGCAGGGGTTCACAGGCAAACAGTATCTCCCCGATCCTTGGAAGCCCAGCTTACAGTTGCAGGAGGTCTGAAGATGAAACCAAAGCAGAAAGAGGAAACAGTAAGTCACTAAAACTGTCATGGTACTGGGTCTGTGACCCAAGGTTTTGTGTTTGTTGGTGAATTCTTTGATTATGGTTATTCATGGTTTTGCTTCTCTTCATTGTGTAGTGCTTGTGTTACATTCTTAGTTCCTAGAATTTAGGTTCCTGTCACTTTGCCTTCCCCATGTTCCACATCGAGTCACTCGTCTCCATGTTGCCTCTGTCTCCCCTGTCAGCTGTGTCCCCTTGTAAAGTCTTGTTTGTCTGAAGTCATCAGCGTAGGGACTAACACGTTATTAAGTAACGCGTTACAGTAACTACGTTATTATTGTGGTAACGAGCACGGTAACTAGTTATTATGCCAAAATCAGGAAAGCATTAACTGTTACTGGGATTTAGATAGGCTCGTTATTTGTTACTTCGTGTGGTGGCTATCACGGAGCTTCCACAGATTTAGTAGCATTAGCAAGTGGTGGAGGCCAGCAGGTGGATGAGAGAAAGGGGAGGCAGGAGGGGAGGCAGGAGGGGAGGCAGGAGGAGAGCCCCGAGGCGGCCGCCAGTCCAAGTGTCAGGTGAACTGAACTTCAGGTAAGAAGTTATGACCTGCAGTCTATCTGGGTCAGATATAAACCAAGTTTAGGTGGAGTTTATTTTCGTTGTGCTGACTTTTTCGTACTGCGTGCTAGCTAGCATGACTGAGTTTGTATATGGCTGAGCGGGTGCTATGATGATGTTAAACTTTATTTTTTTCATAAGGTTAATTATGATGATGCCAACCATCCCCTAAAAAACGGAATCGTCTCGTATTCAGAGAAAATATCACGCGTTTCATATTGAGGTGAAAAGGAATGCAGTTTGTCCCGTTCTTCAGCTAGAATGGAAAAGACACAAAGCTGGAGTTTTTCTGCCTCTTCTTCTCTCATTCTCTCCCCCTCCCTCACATGTTTCTACTTCAATCATGAAACTGATCATTGATCCGCTGATCGGCTTTTCTCTCTTGTTTGTGTATCGCCCACATCGCGCCAGAAAGAGGAAACCAGCGGATGTCGCGCTAAACAACAGCAGCATGTTTAAGCTTGATCAGCTCTTGTTAGAATTGATTTATTTATTAATTTCTAGTATCAGCTGATGTTTGCTGGAGCCACAGCTGTAAAGCTGCTGGTCATGATATTGGTTTGGATATGCGGTGAGAGGGAAACATGAAGATGAGACCAGGAGATGTCCTTACTGAATCATCAGAGCTGAACAGGTGATGGAGAAACAGGTTTACCTTTTAGGTGACATGAATGAGCTGAAGGGAAGTTATGAGCTGTTTCTGAGAGACAAATAACACCAGGATCCTTTTCTAAGTAGCTGACAGCTGGTAACTGTGCAGGGGCGGGTCTAGCAAAGTGTTGCCAGGGGGCCAGGTAGGGCATTAACAGGGAGAGGTGGGCAAAAAGAAATACTTTTCATTCTTATTCTCATTTAAAATGTCTCTCTTTAAAAAAAAAAATAGTTATCTGAATCTTACAACAAAAAATTGATAGATTGATGCATATATACCATCAAAACAGTGAACATCACTGTCACAATAGCGTTTGCTTTCATTCAAAGGCTTTATGATTTTTCCTATAATGGTGGGCTCTAGTCAAAATGCCCAGGTCGATTTTTTTGTCCCAGTCCAGCCCTGTATGCAGTAGGGCTGAACGATATATCGCATTTGCGATAATATCGCATTTGCGATAATATCGCGACATGATCAAGTGCAATTTTCTAACCGCAAAGGCTGCGATTATACTCTGGACATGTCCAAATTCATGGGCTGCATCCTCCT